AATCCAAAACGACGGAATCCTTCCCAAATCATTTTGTGAGACCAACATCATCCTGATACCAAAACCCGGCAGAGACCCAACAAGAAAAGAAAACTTCAGGCCAATATCCATGATGAACATAGATGCAAAATTCTTTAATAAAATATTGGCAAGCTGATTGCAAGAGCAAATCAAAAAACTTATCCATTATGATCAAGTAGGATTCATCCCGGGGATGCAAGGCTGGTTCAACATACGCAAGTCTATAAACGTAATTCACCACATAAACAGAACCAAAAACAAAAACCACATGATTACCTCAATTGACGCAGAGAAGGCATTCGACAAAATTCAACAGCGCTTTATGCTAAAAACCCTCAATATTCCTCAAGGCCTTAGAAATAAAAATGCCATTTGACCCAGCAATCCCATTACTGGGTATATATCCAAAAGACTATAAATCGTTCTACTATAAGGACACATGTACACGAATGTTCATTGCAGCACTGTTTACAATAGCAAAGACCTGGAATCAACCCAAATGCCCATTGATAATAGACTGGATTGGAAAAATGTGGCACATATACACCATGGAATATTATGCAGCAATCAGAAATGATGAGTTTGTGTCGTTTGTAGGGACATGGATGAATCTGGAGAACATCATCCTCAGCAAACTGACACAAGAACAGAAAATGAAACACTGCATATTCTCACTCATAGGCGGGTGATGAAAAATGAGAACACATGGACACAGAAAGGGGAGTACTAAATACTGGGGTCTATTGGGGGGAAAAGGGGAGGGCAAGTGGGAGGGGGAGGTGGGGAGGGATAGCCTGGGGAGAAATGCCAAATGTGGGTGAAGGGGAGAAGCAAATGCTTCCATGTGTGTACCTACGCAACTGTCTTGCATGCTCTGCTCATGTACCCCAAAACCTAAAATCCAATAAAAAATTAAAAAAAAAAAGAACCCTCAATAAACTCGGTATCGATGGAACGTATCTCAAAGTAATAAAAGCTATTTACAACAAACCAACAGCCAATATCATATTAAATGGGCAAAAACTGGAAGCATTCCCTTTGAAATCTGGCACTAGACAAGGATGCCCTCTCTCACCACTCCTATTCAATATAGTACTGGAAGTTCTAGCCAGAGCAATCAGGCAAGAAAAAGAAATAAAGGGTATTCAAATAGGAAAGGTGGAAACCAAATTGTCTCTATTTGCAGATGACATGATAGTATACCTAGAAGACCCCATCGCCTCAGCCCAAAAACTCCTGAAACTGATAAGCAACTTCAGCAAAGTCTCAGGATATAAAATAAATGTGCAAAAATCACAAGCATTCCTCTACACCAATAACAGACATAAAGAGAGCCAAATCAAGAACGAACTGCCATTCACAATTGCTACAAAGAGAATAAAATACCTAGGAGTACAACTCACAAGGAACGTTAAGGGACCTCTTCAAGGAAAACTACAAACCACTGCTCAACGAAATAAGAGAGGACACAAACAGATGGACAAACATTCCATGTTCATGGTTAGGAAGAATTAATATCGTGAAAATGGCTATACTGCCCAAAGTAATTTACAGAATCAACGCTATCCCCATCAAGCTACCATTGACTTTCTTCACAGAACTGGAAAAAACCACCATGAACTTCGTATGGAACCAAAAGAGAGCCAGTATAGCCAAGTCAATTCTAAGCAAAAAGAACACAGCGGGGGGCATCACACTACCAGATTTCAAACTATACTACAAGGCTACAGTAATCAAAAAAGCATGGTACTGGTACAAAACAGAGATATAGACCAATGGAACAAAACAGAGGCATTGGAGGCAACACAACATATCTACAACCATACAATCTTTGATGAACCTGACCGAAACAAGCAATGGGGAAAGGATTCCCTGTTTAATAAATGGTGCTTGGAAAACTAGCTAGGCATGTGCACAATGCAGAAACTGGACCCCTTCCTGACACCTTACACTAAAATTAACTCCAGATGGATTAAAGACTTAAACACAAGACCTGACACCATAAACACCCTAGAAGAAAATCTAGGCAAAACCATCCAGGACATAGGAGTAGGCAAGGACTTCATGAACAAAACACCAAAAGCATTGGCAACAAAAGCCAAAATAGACAAATGGGACCTAATCAAACTCCACAGCTTCTGCACGGCAAAAGAAACAGTCACTAGAGTGAATCGGCAACCAACAGAATGGGAAAAAATCTTTGCAGTTTACCCATCTGACAAAGGGCTGATATCCAGAATTTACAAAGAACTCAAACAGATTTACAAGAAAACAAAAAAGCCCATTCAAAAATGGGCAAAGGATATGAACAGACACTTTACAAAAGAAGACATATGTGAGGCCAAGAAACATATGAAAAAATGCTCATCATCACTGGTCATTAGAGAGATGCAAATCAAAACCACATTGAGATACCATCTCACGCCAGTTAGAATGGCGATCATTTAAAAATCTGGAGACAGCAGATGCTGGAGAGGATGTGGAGAAAAAGGAACACTTTTACACTGTTGGTGGGAGTGTAAATTAGTTCAACCATTGTGGAAGACAGTGTGGCGATTCCTCAAGGCCTTAGAAATAGAAATTCCATTTGACCCAGCAATCCCATTACTGGGTATATATCCAAAGGACTATAAATCGTTCTACTATAAGGACACATGCACACGAATGTTCACTGCAGCACTGTTTATAAGAGCAAACAACTGGAACCAACCCAAATGCCCATTGATAGACTGGATTGGGAAAATGTGGCACATATACACCATGGAATATTATGCAGCAATCAGAAATGATGAGTTCATGTCATTTGTAGGGACATGGATGAATCTAGAGAACATCATTCTCAGCAAACTGACACAAGAACAGAAAATGAAATACCGCATATTCTCACTCATAGGCAGGTGATGAAAAATGAGAACACATGGACACAGGGAGGGGAGTACTAAACATTGGGGTCTATTGGGGGAAAAGGGGAGGGCCAGCCGGGGGGGGGCGCTGGGGAGGAATATAGCCTGGGGAAAAATCACAAATGTGGGTGAAGGGGAGAAAGGAAGCAAAACACACTGCCATGTGTGTACCTATGCAGCTGTCTTGCACATTCTGCACATATACCCCAAAACCTAAAATGCAATAAAAATTTCAAAAAAAAAAGAAATGAAAGACGATAGCCTCCTTGGACATGAACCTGTGAAATGGCTAATGGCTATCAAGGTGGCCAGCCACAGAAAAGATGTTAAAATGTTAGAAGATGGTAAAATCGTATTTTGAAAGTGTGAGTCAAGAATAATGTCCTTCTCTAATTTGGAAATACACTGAGGATTGGAATGAAGAAAAAGATTGCAGTAAAACAAAAATTGATATTCTATTTCTCCAAAACTGTTTCTTGATCTTCAAAGAGGCCATAAGAAGCCTAAAAAAGGATGAAATGACTATCCTAATTTACTCAATGGTATGTGTGGAAAATTATTCTAACATCAGGTAGAAGAGGTCTCAGAGGGCGTAGAGATAAGTATACAACGCTACCAGAGTTGAAAGTATCATAAACTATTAAACAATAGTTTACGTACCATGTCTTTTCATTTGCTCAAAATGTAACATAATCCCTTAATATATTTAAATGATACAAGATTTTTGCCATCTAAAAATAATTTTAAGAAATACTAGAGTGCACAAAAGGTTGACTTTCCACAGAATCTTTTCTACCTCCCATAATATTGTTTTAAAAAATTCTAGGCTAGGTGCTTTGGCTCACACCCGTAATCCCAGCACTTTGGGAGCCCAAGGAGGGTGAATTACCTAAGGTGAGGAGTTCAAGACCAGCCTGGCCAACATGACGAAATCCCATCTCTACTAAAAATACAAAAATTAGCCAGGTGTGGTGGTGTGTGCCTGTAGTCCCAGCTATTCAGGAAGCTGAGACAGAAGAATTGCTTGAACCCAGGAGGTAGAGGTTGCAGTGAGCTGAGATCATGCCACTGCACTCCAGCCTGGGTGACAGGGCAAAACTCCGTCTTAAAAAAAAAAAAATTTGTAAAACAATTTAAGAAATATTCCACATAGACATAGATATACTGAAAAATCAGTATATTATAACGTTCACCTGGATGAACAGTAACTCAGTTATACATTTGTTTCCCTTTGTCAATATTTGACTTTGACATTTAAAAGCAGGTATTTAGCAACCACAGCTGAAACCACAGTGAAAAATTACTCCTAGGTATATGAAAGTGTGATCATATATATATGAAAACCACATAGCACACAGATCTCCAATTAAAGTATACACATCACAAAGTTCTCTCCCAATACCTGTCCCCACAAGAGATGGTAACATTTGACGTTGAATCACACATGTGATGTTGTCCGCCTGATGAGGGTAGAGATCTGTTTTGAAAACACAACTCAGAAAACCAGGGGGCAACACTGCCTTGCCCTCAGAAAGGAAAGATAGCATGAAGGGTAATCTTTCCCTGTATCTTCAGAAAAAGATGACACACTTAGGCATAATAAATTGCCCTTGAAAATATTACTTCTGATAAAGTAGTCCCAAAGACACTCAGACCCAGAAGCTATTGCGGTGCCCTATGAAAGTAAGCTTTAACATAAAATCTGTAATTCTGACTAGTTGACTCCTTTAATAATATATTGACTTGGCAATGATATTTAAAACTGATACTTTTGTTTTCTGAAAGGAATAAATATTTGTGAGTTTTATAACACTTTCGTCTTCATCCACGTGCATCAAAGTTAAAAAAAATGAAAGCCTCAACCCCACAGCCTTTCTTATTTAAAAAGAAAAGAAAAAAACTCTCTTGACTCATTTAAATTAATACAGAAAAAGAAAAAATGACAGTGTAAGTTCATTTTAAAATGAAAATTATAAGGATAACTGTAATTTTCAAAATTATGCTTTTATTCCTGAAATTTTATCCTTACAATGTTATACATGCTATATCCAGAACATCGTCAAACACAATACTTACTGTAATTTCCAGGAGATTTTTCTTCATAAGTAAAATGAAGCTGTAATTCCTCCTCTGACATCTCACAGATGAACACCTTCAGCAAACAGCAAATAATAAACAAAGCATTGTGTGTCTGCCAAATGAAGATATGGCTAGAAAGGAAAGACCAAAATCACACAAGAATCAATATTTAACCATAAGCATCACTGGTTTATTTCTAGTTCATGATTTCTTCCTGATTTGTCAACCATTTTGTCCAACCTATTGGTAATATTAGGACAGTGTCCACATCTTTTAACGGCTCATGATTTATTACATTATACCAGTGATATCTATTATGTTTTACTTCAAAGTTCATTCCGTGTATTTTACATAATGAATCTACTTAATAAAAATCTTTACTGATGACCATGGGAATGACATTCTTTGTTCTTAGTAGGTATACCACATACAGGCAATTCAAAGAGAAGAAAGCCACACACAAAAAAAAGTTTTTTAATTGTGGTAACATAAAAAGAATATATGCAAACATGTAACCGAAATGTTCAATGGGGCATTGCCAGTAGCACAGAAAAACACTTTTTTGTGTATGTATCTGTGGCCATGAGCTCCTAAGAAAAACTTTATTGGATTCAATGTAATTTGTTTAGAAGCAAGACAACACAAAATCTTTTCATCTTTTCAGAGACACATCCAAACATGGTTTTGAAAAATGCTTGAGCGTATAAAAAGTTAACCTTCCACTGACAGATGTAGAAAGAAATAAAACTCACTAAAGTCATCATTCAAACTAGATAGCATTTAAACTGGATAGCAGCACCAGTGATAATGGGGAGGAAATTACTTTTTTTTTTTTGAGGGGGAGTTTCACTCTTGTTGCCCAGGCTGGAGTGCAATGGCGCCATCTCGGCTCACTGCAACCTCCGTCTCCCGGGTTCAAGCGATTCTCCTGCCTCAGCCTCCCAAGTAGCTGGGATTACAGGGATGTGCCACCAGGCTCAGCTAATTCTGTATTTTTAGTAGAAATGGGGTTTCTCCATGTTTGTCAGGCTGGTCTTGAACTCCCGACCTCAGGTGATCCACCGGCCTCAGCCTCCCAAAGTGCTGGGATTATAAGCATTAGCCTCCGCACCCCGCCTGGAAATTACCTTCTTAATTATAATTACATAATTATTCATCTTCTTAAAGAATGTATTTCTAAAGATTGTCTGAAAAGCTGAAATCAGATTCCAAAATCTATAATCTCACCCATATGACTTAGGCACTAAACTAAAACCTCCATTTCCACCAATAAATGAAAACTAAAATTCACATTGTTAAATACAAAGCAAACATGGTTTAATCAGCCAGCTTACTTCTGACATTCTGCTGAAAGTTTTAGTTCTTTGGTTCTAGAAAGGAAGACCTTAATTAGTGCACCAAGATTTCCTGTTCGAGGATTGTTTTCAACTGCAAGAGAAGAAAAGATTTTATAAAGTTATATTTAAGAACTAAAATCAAAGTGGGCTTATCATAACATTTATAAATCCAAATGTCATATTGATATTACTCAGTGACCAACCTTACTGCTAATTTTACATCTAATTAGAGAAATAACCAATGAGAGAAACTGCTCCTTTTAATCTTAATTCTGAACATCAAAACTGATCTGCAAAATGAAAATGATAGAAACAGGACAAGTAGCCATCTTATCTTAGAATCCAAAATCATAAAGGAAAAAATAATAGTTAATAGACATAATCAACTTACACACATAAATCTTTCTCTAAAAAAGATTTTTAAAAACTCAAAAATGGATCTATGTCCCCAGTATGTAGAATATAATAAACTATAAAAGTTTATTAAATCTAAAAGTGTTCAGATCACAAATCATTTGAATGAAAAATTAAGAAAACTTATCAACAAAGCAGTGTGGCTAGAGGGGGAGCTATCTAACCAGAAAAAACTTTAAATAATTTATTTTTAAGTTTAAACGATGAGCATTTCAGCAAGGCAGCCTAAATAGAGGAAATACTGTATCAGAAATCAGAAGATGTCGTTTCTAGATCCAGGTCTATAATTAACTAAATATTGAACCTCAGACAAATCACTTTACTTCTCCAACCTCAGTTTTCTCATCTGTAAAAGAAACAACAGCTAACATATACCGAACAATAAAGAGTAGGTACTTTACATGCATTAACTCATTTAATCCTCATACCAACCCTCCAAGAAAAGAGCTAGCAGCACTTCCATTTCACAGATCCTCACCTGTAGGTTGTTACTTGCGCAAGGAAACATCCTTATCAACTGGCTCAAATCTTTGACTCTAAACTGCTAAGTTGAAGCAACCTCTATAATCAAGAAATTGGACTTAATCAAACTATAAAGTTTTGCTGGGCTGCACAGCAAGTCACGGAAGCACAGAAGTTAAGAATTCATCAGAAGGGAGAGACTATTTTGTAGAAACTCATTTGACTGATGAAGAAAAAACAGGCTCAGAAAGGCTAAGCCCTGGGCTTAACGGCAACAATATGTTAGTAGCAAATGCAGTCTTTTTCCTTGACCAGTGGTTTTCAAAATGTCAGATTCTCAAGTCCTGGATTATTGTTTCTCTTCTGAAGTATATTTTTAACTAGTTTGAAAACTGAAAATGCAAACATTCAAACACACTGGCTAGTGCTGCCAGGAGAGTTCATTTTTGCAGATAATTTTTGCAGTTCAATTTTGCAGATCTGGGAATTTTTGCATATATTTGAACTTCTTTTATTTTTTTAATGTAGAAACAGGGTCTTGCGCTGCCACCCAGGCTGGACAGCAGTGGTACAATCATCGCTTCTGCAGTCTTGAACTCCTGGGTTCAAGTGATCCTTCTGCCTCAGCCTTCCAAGTAGTTAGTGCTACAGGCATGTACCAACAGGCCCAGTTAATTTTATTTTTTGTAGAGACGGGATTGCCCTATGTTGCCCAGACTTGTATATTTGAACTACTTGAAATGAGTCAAGATTTGAAAAAATGTCGTTTTCCAGAATATTTTTTTTTAAATTCAGGCCCATACATATATATTCTAAAGTATTATACATGGGAATAAGTACAGCATTACAGCATACCTGCATTGTGTTTAATAACTGCCGAGCTCACTACCTTCTGGATATATATTCTTGTCACGACTTGAGAGTCAATCCAAGTAACTGCCTAACTTTCTAACTGTGATAAAATGTCAAGCACTGTGCTATTCCAAGTGTGGCTCACGGACTAGCCACAACGGCATTATCTGGGAGCCTGGTGGAAGTTCAGAATCCCAGGTCCACCATACTCCAAACCAAAGTTGACAGTACTTCCCAAAGTTTAATGTACATTTACGTCACAAAGCATTCTTATTAAAATGCAAATTGATTCTACATGTGTGAGATGTGCACCAAGATTCAGCATCTCTACTGCTCCCAGGTGATGTCCACTGCTGCTGCTGCTGCTGGAGAACCCCACTGTGAGTAGCAAAGTGCATTTGTTGTCAATCAGAAGAGTTTCGTCCGACCTTCATAATCAACAATAGATATGTGATCAGATAGTAGATAATGTTAAGTTTCCCTTTGAAACAAAAATGTCCTATTCCTCTTTCAAGCTTTAGGGTTAGTTTAATGAAAGAATACCCAAAGACCTCAGAATAAACTGTTTAAGGAAAAAAAAAAAACAGTTAATGTTTGCAAGTGCATCTCTGTGGGACTTAATACTATCTAGTTATTATAAATCAGAACAAAATGCTGAAACAAACTAAGCTGAGGGCGACATGACTACAATCATCACTCAGAATCCCAACTTTGAAATCTTTGTTCACTCAATAGCCCCCTTTATTACTGAACAGCCTTTTAATTGTTTGAATGTATTAGCTATTTAAAAAACAAAACAAAACATCTTGTGTTTTTGGAATGAGTAACCAGACGACTTGATTGATGTAATTAAAGTGCTGTGTACCTTTCTCATGCATTCATTCAATCAGCATGTACTTACTGAGCTACTCAGAGGTGCTCACACTGTCTCAGATACTAAGGAGATATCTGTAAAGAGAACTCCCTGTCTTCATGGACCTTACCTATCAAGACAGTTAAAAAGTTTCCATGATATTCTTTTGGATAAGATGAAGACTAGGGAAATAAGTTAACAAAATTAAATACACTCAATGATTTTAAACAATACTCCACAGTAAAGTCAGGATTCCAAAATATCTCAATGGTAGAAGAAAAGATATTTCACATGATCACAGTTAATTGGTACAAATAAAATGCCATGTTGAGCTGAAGAAGCTTTGGAAGCCAGAGTAACAACACAGGAGGGAAAGCAGAAAAGTGTAATGGGACTAGAATATAGAATTTAACAAGGTTCAAATCTCAGTTCCACCACTGACCGACTGCAGAACACTTGGCAACTTACCTAACTGCCCCCTGCCTCAGTTTTCTCATCTGTAAAATTAAGATAACAATATTGCTTAAGTAATAAAAAGCTAACTTACCTGATTCTAGAGCTTGAACTTGTGGTAGTCTGTTAACTAGTGATGTTTGTGTAAAGAAGGGAATGCCCCCATCTCTACAAGAATTCAAGCAAAGTTTGGGTAATATTCAGATAAGGTTATTGTAAACAGGATTTCTGTTTGAGACAAGAGATTAAATTTGCTTCTAGCCCCTGAAACAAACTTTCCTAAGATCTCACTAAAAGACTCATGAGCCCTAAAATCCAACAACCAATGTAGAGAAAATCACAGGACAGAGGAAGTGTGTAGTTTAGTTAAAAGCATTAACATAACCTCATTTTATTGTGCTTCGCTTTATTGTGCTTCAAAGATACTGCATTTTATACAAATTGAAGGTTTGTGGCAACCTTGCAGTTAGCAAGTCTATCAGCGCCATTTTTCCAACAACACGTGCTTACTTCATGTCTCTGCATCACATTTTGGTAATTCTTGCAAATTTTCTTCATCTTTATTTACTTTTATTTTTTTGAGACAGGGTCTCATTCTGTCACCTAGGCTGAGAGCATCACAGCTTACTGCAGCCTCAACCTCCCAGGCTCAAGAGATCTGCCCACCTCAGCCTCCTTTCTTTTAATTTTTTTGTAGAGACAGGGTCTTGCTATGTTGCCAAGACTGGTCTCAAACTCCTGGACTCAAGCAATCCTCCTGACTTGGCCTCCCAAAGTGTTGTGATTACAGGCCACCATGCCAAGCCAATTCTTGCAATTTTTCAAACATTTCATTGTTATATCTGTTATAGTGATCTCTAATCAGTGATCTTTTGGGTTTTTTGAGACAGAGTCTCACTCTGTCACCCAGGATGGAGTGCAATGGCATGATCTCGGCTCACTGTAACCTCCGCCTTCCAGGTTCAAGCAATTCTCCCACCTCAGCCTCCCAAGTAACTGAGCTTACAGTCACCTGCTACCATGCCCGGCTAATTTTTGTATTTTTGTAAAGATGTGGTTTCACCATGTTGGCCAGGCTGATCTTGAAGTCCTGACCTCAGGTGATACACCCACCTCAGCCTTCCAAAGTGCTGGGATTACAGGCATGAGCCACCATGGCTGGCCAAATCAGTGATCTTTGATGTCATATTGTCACCAGCAAGAAGATTATGACTCATAAAGGCTCAGATGATGTGTTAGCATTTTTTTTTTGCTATACAGTTATAAAATTAAGATAAGTACATTTAACACATATTATTGCACATTTGATAGACCATGGTATAATGTAAACATAACATTCATAAGCATGGGGAAACCAAAAAATTTATGCAACTCACTCTATATACTTGCTTTATCTCAGTCGTCTAGAACTGACCCACAGTATCTCTGTGGTATACCTGTACCAATGTTGACTCCTTTGTTGAAACAAATGTACCATACTGAAGAAAAATGTTAAAATAGGGGAAATGGTAAAGAGTATACAGGAATGCTCTAAACTAGCTTTGAAACATTTCCACAAATCTAGAGCTATTTTAAAATTAAGAGCTTGTTTTAAAAATCTCAGTAGATAGGTTTAATAGGAAATAGGACATACCAGAAGATAAGATTAGCAAAGTAGCTCACACTTGTAACCTCAGCACTTTGTGGGAGCCAAGGTGGGAGGATCACTTGAGCCCAGAAGTTCAAGACCAGCATAGACAACACGGGAAATCCCCACCTCTACAAAAACCTTAAAAATTATCCAGGCATGTAAAATATGTCCGGAGTCCCAGCTACTCAGGATGCTCAAGTGGTAGAATCTCTTGAGCCCAGGAAGTTGAGGTTGCAGTGAGCAATGATAGTGCCCCTGCACGCTATCCTGGGAAACAGAGAGAGACCCTGTCTCAAAAAAAAAAAAAAGAGGAAAGATTAGAAACTAAAGATGAATTAACAGAAAATATCTCATTGAAGGTAAGAGAGAAAAAGAATGAAAACTACAAAAGAAAAAAAAAAGCCTAACAAGTATATGGGACTCAATGGAAACAAAAACATTAAACAGAAGTATAACAAACAAGTATCCTAGAAGGAGAGGAGATATAGAACAAAAATTTTATATATAAACAGATAATGGCTAAGAATTTTCCAATACTTATAAAAGACACCAACCCACAAATTTAAGGATCTCTACAGGGTAGGCGCGGTGGTTCATGCCTGTAATCCCAGCACTTTGGGAGGCTGAGGCAGGCAGATCATGAAGTCACGAGATTAAGACCATCCTGGACAAGATGGTGAAACTACTAAACTACAAAAAATTAGCCAGGCATGGTAGCATGCACCTGTAGTCCCAGCTACTCAGGAAGCTGAGGCAGGGGGAATCGCTTGAACCCAAGAGACGGAGGCTGCAGTGAGCTGAGATTGTACCACTGCACTCCAGCCTGGCGATACAGCAAGATTTCATCTCCAAAAAAAAAAGAATCTACAAACCTCAGGAAACAAAGAAACAAAGAAAACCTCTCCTCAGCACATCACTCTAAGGCTACTGAAAATCAAAAGATAAAAAGGAAAACTTAAAAGTAGCCAGAAGTTTAAAATTCCATTATTTTCACAGAAGCAACACTAAGGTTGACAGCTTTCTTCACAACAAAAATAAGAAAAGCTAGAAAATAACAAAAGGATACCTTTAAAGTATGGAAAAGAAATTAATGTCTACTTAAAATTCTATATCCAGCAAGCATATACTTCAAAAGTAAAGAAAAAAATAGAACATTTTCAGACAAAAAAAGAAGGAAAGAGAGAGAAAATGGTTGCCAGCAAACTAGCACTTTTAAAAAAGTTTTATTTTTTCACGCCTATAATCCCAGCACTTTGGGAGAACAAAGCGGGTGGATCACAAGGTCAAGAGATCGAGACCATCCTGGTCAACATGGTGAAACCCGTCTCTACTAAAAATACAAAAAATTAGCTGGGCATGGTGGTGCGTGCCTGTAATCCCAGCTACTCAGGAGGCTGAGGCAGGAGAATTGCCTGAACCCAGGAGGTGGATGTTGCGGTAAGCCAAGATTGCACCATTGCACTCCAGCCTGGGTAACAGGAGCAAAACTCCATTTCAAAAAAAAAAAAGTTTCATTTTTTCGAAGAGGAAACTAAGCATACTCACATAGCCCTTAAAGTTGACAAGCACTTATACCTACTGATGTGAAAAGAGGCTTGTGACATGCAGCTGAGTTCAAACAACATATAAATAATACCATTTACATAAAATTCTCACAAAAGATTAGCAGTGATTACATACGTACTGTTTAATATGAGCTGATTTTTATTTAGCCATACCATCATATTACTGGAATTTTGGACAATAACTGTATATCACTTTTTGCTGTTCCTGAAAGTATTTTTAAACACATAACACATTCCTGATACAATGTCAAGTGAAAAACACAGATTAAAATGTGTGTGTGTGTGTGTGTTGGATGATATATATAAATTTATATCCATTGAATAAGTAGTGGAAGAAAAAAATACAAAAATATTAACAATGGCTACGTAGGGTTTTCAAATTATGAGCAATTACTACCTTTTTTACATTTTAGTATGGTTTTCACATTATACATAATGGGTAAATATTACTTGCCTTTTTTCACCCCTAGATTTAGAGTCTTGCTCTATTGTTCAGATTGGAGAGTAGTGGCGCCATCATGGATCCCTGCAGCCTCAAATTCCTGGGCTCAATCAATCCTCCTACCTCAGTATCCCTAGCAGTTGAGACTATAGAAGGTGCCATCATGCCTGGCTAAGTTTTTCATTTTTTGTGTGTAGAGACGGGGTCTTATAATGTTGCCCACGCTGGTCTTGAACTCTGACCTCAACCAACCCTCCTGTTTCAGCCTCCTAAGTTACCAGGATTATAGGCATGAGCCACCACTCCCAGCTAATTTCAGTTTTCTTAATGTAATTTTCTTTGTGTTTTCATTGTTTTATTTTGTTATATTTTTCTATTTTTATCTTTTAATTTTTTGATTTTTATAAAAACCCAAAGTCGCCTTAAAAGCCATTATCATAGTAACTACACTAATATCGTTGTTACATAAAACTCCTTAGTTTTCAGCACTGAACGGCCACATGGCTTTTGAAAGCCAGCTCTACTTAGCAAAAAACTTCCTAAGCTATGGCTGCAAGGCAAGGCAACTACTACAATAACACTTTTATCATTATCAACATAGTTTGTTTTTAAAACAAAAATATTTGGGCCCAGGCACAGTGGCTCATGCCTGTAATATCCCAACATTTTGGGAGTCCAAGGCAGGAGGAGGATGGCATGAGGCCAGTAGCCTGAGACTAGCCTCCGCAACATAGGAGACCCCCATCTCTACAAAAAAATAAAATAAAATCAGCAGGCAGGTGTGGTGCCATACACCTGTAGCCCCGGCTTCTCAGGAGGCTGAGATGGGAGGATCACTAAAGCCCAGGAGATCAAGGCTGCAGTGAGCCATGATGGCACCAGTGCACTCCAGCCTGGGCAACAAAGCAAGACTCTATCTCTTCAAAAAAAAAAAATCAAAAACTGTTTTTAGCAAAATAGCTTATAATTATCCATATAGCTCGATTTTACTTATTTATTTATTTTTTTGAGACCAAGTCTCACTCTGTCGCCCAGGCTGAAGTGCAGTGGTGCAATCTTGGCTCACTACAACCTCTGCCTCCCAGGTTCAAGCAATTTCTCTGCCTCAGACTCAAGAGTAGCTGGGATTACAGGCACCTACCACCATGCCCGGCTAATTTTTCTATTTTTAGTAGAGATGGGGTTTCGCCATCTTGGCCAGGCTGGTCTTGAACTCCTGACCTTGTGATCCACCCACCTCAGCCTCCCAAAGTGCTGGGATTACAGGCGTGAGCCACCACGTCCAGCCTATATAGCTCAATTTTAAAACAGAATATTGTTCTCACTTTACACTCCCGTACACTAGGTATTTTACAGACACATTATCTTTCATTTTCAAAGCACCAGCACAATCTAAGTATAACTGCCTTCATTTTAAAAATATATACAATTTCCTTCCATTTGCTACAAAAATGAAAGTTAAGCATTTGAGAAACAAGGCCTGAAAAAGGTAATAGTTGTTAATGACTACAATACAAATGATTTGATATGACTACATGCCACACATTGTACTAAATATTTCATATTACCTAGTTTTTCCTCATAAGAACCCTGTAAATAGTTGTTCTTATCATCAATTTACATGAGGAAATTAAGGTTCAGCTAAGAAGTAGCGCAACCAAAATTAAAATCATAAAATGATTCTGGATTCCATGCTCTTTACCATAATACTAAGTTTTTATACAAGCTTCCTAATATATATTATTTTAAGAAGTAATAATTATTCTGGTGAGCATAGTAATAACAATAATAGCAACTGGTAAATCACAACACGAATGGTCCTGTATTAGCTACATGAATTGTCCAGGCAACTACAAAACTAACTTAATATTATTTTTTCAGTATTTCAAAATTCACAAAAAGAACAAGCTGAAAGAGTGTCTATGGCTTAGCAGAGTCCATTACCACTACTGTAGATATAGCCAAGCAAGTGTCATATTGCTATTGACTGAAGGGTACCTTCTAGCAGCATCTGTGAATGCCACAAATAGAAAAAAATATTACTATTGCTATCAAAGAAGAAGAATTACTTCATTAATTCAATTCACATTATACTGTCAAAATCTAAATCAAAATTTGAAAACAATGCCCCCACTCACTTACACAAACACGTTTTTCCCACTTACCTAGTGATCTGCAGACTGAAATGGTTGCTTCCTCCAAGAGTTTCAATTCAGTACTGGAGAGACAGAAGAATAAAGGTAATTAATGACTACAATACTAAATATGTACACACTAATCAGTTGAAGAAATACATAAAGATAATAAAAAATAATATAGAAGAAAAATATGGTACACAGTAATGAATAAGATCAACAAAAAAAGTTAGGCTTCAATTGTCAGTTTAATTAGGAGATTTACTATAATTCTAAATATGAGATTCCTAAAGAGAAGAGTTTGAGGCACCCTGCCTTTCAGGCATTGAGGCAGGAGGGAGACTTAGAAAAATTCAATAAAGGCACTCCAAAGTAGAGAGCACAAGGCAGGGGCCCTGTGTGCCTGATTCTAAAAGCAGTACTAATTATAGTTTAGAAAGATGCAAGTATCTTTAGGAAATACATGCAGTGTCATGATTTCTGCAACACTTTCGAAGAGTTCAAAAACAAAAAAGGAAAATGAAGAAATAGGCAAGAAAAGAGAGATAATACATGTACGTTTTGATGGTTTATAAATACATAGAAAAAGCCATAAAAACAGATACAGACATACAGAAACAGATACAAACACAGACTCAAACTAACACTGAGAAAAGAGGCACAAACAGACAGAAATAAAGCTTAGAAGAAAATATGTTTCTTGAGATTGGATTTGACAACAATTTCTTGGATATGACACCAAAAAACACAGGTATCAAAAGAAAAAAACAGACATGCTAGACTTTATCAAAATTAAAAACTCCTGTGCATCAAAGGACACTATCTACAGAGTGAAAAGTCAACTCACAGAATGGAAAACAGTATTTTTAAATCTGATAAGAGACCAACATCCAGAACATACTTTTAAATCTCCTACGACTCAACAACAACAAAAACCAAACAACCCAATTTTAAAATGGACGAATGACTTAAAGAGCCATTTTCCAAAGAGGATATAGAAATGACCAATAAGTACATGAAAACATACTCAACATCACTAGACATTAGGGAAACACAAAACCAGAGTGAATACTACTTCACACCCACTGGGATGGCTTTTATTAAGTAAAGAAAAAAAGAAAAAAAAGAAGAGGCTAGGCACGGTGGGCTCATACCTGTAATCCCAGCACTTTGGGAGGCTGAGAGATCATTTGAGGTCAGGAATTCAAGGCCATCCTGGCCAACATGGTGAAACCCCATCTCTACTAAAAATACAAAAATTAGCCAGGCATGGTGGTACACACCTATAATCCCAGCTACTCAGGAAGCTGCGGCAAGAGAATCACTTGAACCTGGAAGATGGAGGTTGCAGTGAGCCAAGATCATGCCACTGCACTTCAATCTGGGTGACAGAGCCAGACTCTGTCTCAAAAAAAAAAAAAAGAAGAAGAAGAAGAAGAAGAAAAAAGAGAAAAAAAAAAAAACAAAGTAACAAGTGTTAGCAAGGATGTAGAGAAATTAGGCCTCTTGTGCACTGAAGATATGTAAAATGATGCAGCCACTATGGCAAACATATGGTAGTTCCTTTAAAAATTAAACTTAAAATTACCGTGTGACCCGGCAGTTCTACTCCTGGGTAGACACCAAAAAGAAGTGAAAGCACAGTCTTTAAGAGATAGTTGTACACTCATGTTCACAGCAACGCCATTAACAATAGCCAAGAGGTAGAAGTAACCCACGTGTCTCATGTCTACCAACAGATAGATGGATAAATGAAATGTACATATACACAATGAAGTATTATTCAGCCTTAAGAAATAAGGAATTTCAATATATGCTACAACATGAATGAACCTTGAAGACATTATGCTATGTGAAATAAGCCAGCCACAAAAAGATAAATATTGTGATTCCTCTTATATGAGGCTCCTAGAGGAGTTAAACCCATAGAGAAAAAGTAGAAAGGTGGTTGCCAGGAGCTGGGGATGGGAGAAAAGGGAATTGGTGTTTAGTCAGTACAGAGTTTCAGTTTGCCAAGATGTAAAGGTTTTAGAGATGATGTCAATGGCTGCACAACAATGTGAATATACTTAATGTCACAGAGCTATACAGTTAAAAATGGTTACAATGACTATTTTATGTTGTGTATATTTCACCACAATTTTTTTAAGTGCATTCCAACTCCAGTTCAACTACTTACTAGATAGCTGACCTTGGGCTGGTTCGTTAATTCTTTATTTCTTAATTTCCTCATATACAAGACAGTGATAGTAACACTACCCTTCATAAGACTATTATGATTAAATTATATAATATTGATAAAGCACTTAGAACAGTGCCTGAGATAAAGTAAATCCTCAATAAATGATAGATTCTGTCCCATTTGTCTGTGTTTGTTTTTATGCCAGTACCATGCTGTTTTGGTTACTAATGCTTTGTAGTATATTTTGAAATCAGGTAATGTAATGCCTCCAGATTTGCTTTTTTTGCTCAAGTATGCTTTGGCTACTCTGGATCTTCTGTGTTTCCACAGAAATTTTAGAATTTTTTTTTTCTATTTCTGTGAAAAATGTCACTGGTATTTTAATAGGAATTGCATTGAATCTGTAGATCGCTTTAGATAGCATAAACATTTTAACAATATTTATTCTCCAGGTACATAGCAAGGAATATTCTTTGCATTTATTTATGTCTCCTTCCATTTTTTTCATCAAGATCTTATAGTTTTCATTGTAGAGATCTTTACCTCCTCAGTTAAATGTACTGCTAGTTGTTTTTTTAACAGCTACTGTAAATGTATTACCTTCTTTATTTCTTTTTCAGATAGTTCAACAGAATCAAGAGCCCAGAAATAAATCCACACATGATTTTTGATAAAGGCATCAAGATACACTGTGGGGAAAGAACAGTACCTTCAATAAATGGTACTTGGAAAACTGAATATTCACAGGGAGCAAAATGAAACTAGACCCTTATCTCTATCCACTTAGAAAAATGAACTCAAAATACAGACTTAAATGTAAGACCTGAAACTATGAAACTACTTGATTAGGTGAAATGCTTGAAGACATTGGTGTGGCAAGAACTTGTTGGGTAAGAGGTCAAAAGCACAGAGAACAAAAGCAAACATAGACAAATAGGATTATATCAAACTAAAAAGCTTCTGTACAACAAAGGAAACAACAAAGTGAAGAGACAATCCACAGAATAGTAAAAAATATTTACAAACTATGCATCTGACAAGGGACTCATCCAGGATACACTCAAACAACTCAACAGAAAAAAAAAAAAATACCATTTAAAAATGAACAGAAGACCTAAATAGACACTTCTCAAAAGACAACATATAAAATATGCTCATCACCACTAATACCAGAAAAAAGCAAATCAAAACCACAATGAGATATCACATCACCCATCAGAATGGCTATTATTAAAAAGACAAAAAATTACAAACATTGGCAAGGATGCAGAGAAAGGGAAACTCTTATACAATGTTGATAGGTGCTATAATTTGGATGTTTGATCCCCGCAAACCTCATATTGAAATCTGATCCCCAATGTCAGAGGTGGGGCCTAATGGGAGGTGTTTGGGTCAGCGGGGCAGACCCCTTACGAACAGACTGATGCCCTCCCTCAGGAGTGGGTAACTTCTCACTCTATTCCCATTAGTACTGGTTGTAAAAAAGGCCCTGGCACCTCCCTGCCCCATTGCTTATTTTCTCATCGTATCTTGTCTGTACACACCAGCTCCCTTTCACCTCTGCCATGAGTGGAAGCAGCCTGAGGCCCTCATCAGATGCAGATGCTGGTACTAGCCAGCAGAAATGTGAGCCAAATAAATCTCTTTTCTTTATAAATTACCCAGTCTCTGGTATTCCTTTATAGCAACACAAAACAGACCAAGACAGTAGAAAAGTAAATTACTACAGCCACTAAGGACAACAGTAGGGAAGTTTTCCAACAAACTAAAAATAGAACTACCATAAACTCCAAGAATCCCACTACCGGATATAAACATTGAGTATCCCTCACCCAAAATGCTTGAGATCAGGAATATTTCTGATTTCAGACTTTTTTTTCCTGATTTTGGAATATTTGCATATAGTTGAGCATCCCTAATCCAAAAATCCAAAATCCAAAATAGTACAATGAGCATTATCCTTTAAGCATCAGGTCAGTGCTCAAAAAGTTTTGGATTTTGGAGCATTCTGAATTTCAGATTTTTGGATTAGGGATACTCAACCTCTATATCCTAAGGAAATGAAATTGGTATGACAAAGAATATCTGCACTCCCATGTTTACTGCAGCACTATTCACAATTGCCAAAATATGGAATCAACCTAAGTATCTATCAACAGATGGATAGATTGTTTTTAATGAGGTACATAAACACAATGGAATACTATTCAGCCATAAAAATGAATGAAATCCTGTCATTTGCAGCACCTGGATAAACCCACAAGACATTAAGTGAAGTAAGTCAAGCACAAAAGGCAAAAACCACATGATCTCACTGATCTGTACAAACTTAAAAAGTTGATCCCATAGAGGTAAAGAGTATAACAGTGGTATCAAAGGCTCAGTAGGACAGGCAGGGAGAGGGAGAGAGGTCAGCAGGTACAGTTACATTAGATAGATAAAAGGGATAAGTCCTGATGTTCTATTACACAGTAAGGTGACTACAGTTAACAATAATTACTTCACATTTCAAAATGGCTAAAATAATTTTGAACATTCTCGCCACAAAGAAATAACAAGTGTTTGAGGTAATGGATATGCTAATTGCCCTGATTTAATCAGTACACAATGTATACATGCATCAAAACATCCTATAGTACCCCATAAATACGTGTAATTATGCATCAATTAACAAAATAAAACTTTTTTAAATGATAGCTATTATTTATCCCAAAATGTAGGAGTGTCCCCATAGTTAATAAATTAAAATAATGCCTCACATCTGTTTAACCCTTTAATATCTTTCAAAACACTTTCAAATACATTGGTGCAATTAAATCCCATGAAAATCTCTAAGGACCAAGACCATTATAAACCTTATTTTTATAGATAAGCAAACTGAGGCATCCAAGGAGTTTAAAG